TTATTACTGTATGAAATATACTTTTTTAAAGTTTATTTATTTTGAGAGAAAGAGAGAGATAGCAGGGGAAGGTCCGAGAGAGGAGAGAGAGAGAATCCTAAGCAGGGTCTATGTTGTTGGCGGGTCTTGATCTCATGAACCATGAAATCATGATCTAAGCTGAAACTAAGAGCTGTTTAACTGACTCAGCCACCCAGGTGGCCCTAAAATATATTTTTAATTGGAATAAAACATATGATGAGTATAACATTTTTATCCTAAGGATGTGTCCATTGAGTAATATCTTTCTAGAACTTCTTTTTAGAAGTTCCTAGACCGCAGCAGTTGATAATTCCCTTTGAAATCCAGTTTTGCTGTGATCGTATAGTGGTTAGTACTCTGCGTTGTGAAATCCAGTTTTATTACTTTATAGTCACACAAAGCTATCGTCAGAAAACATAGCTCTAGTTGATCAGCCATTTTATTCACTGCGCTTAGCTCTGAAAAAAATGACTTGGCAAATTCCAAAAATCAAATCTACCCACAAAAAGCCAAGATTTGCCACCAATGGAGATATTTAAAAGAATATATCATAGGATCTTAAAAATATTCTATACAATTGTAGCATTAAAAGAGTACACAGGCTCCAAGATAACTTTTGTGATGAGGAGGACACAAAAGACTGTTTAGGTAGTAATTAAATGTGTCATTACTTTATAATTAAACTGTGGGCCTCCTGAAGGATCCATAATATTGTTCCATAATTTATAATATGCTTCCTTAAAATTCAAACTTTAGAACAAGTTTGAAATAACAGGTTAGTTATTCTGCAAATGTACAGATAAAAACAGATTAAAGAATTCACACTCAGGTCTCTTAATTCTAAGTTCAGGGCTCTCTCTACATACGAATTTGTCAAAGATCACACAACCGGAGTAGGGAGAAGCCAGGGTTTACAAACATTCCCTCTGACCACTCGGCTGCATAGACATCCTGGCCATTTATCTTTTTGCCCTTAATCAGTATTCTGTGGATCTGATTGGTCTGCTAGTTTGTAAATAGTCACCCTGGCAGCAAGTACTTATATTAATTAAAAAAAATAATAACATTTTCCATATTGAAATGATGGAGATTGAGTGACATGTGAATTTTGTAAACTTTTTGGATATTTTAAGATCCAGAGACATTTAAAAAAATTTTTTTAAATTTATTTTGAGAGAAAGGAAGAAAGAGAGAGTGAGCACTGGGGAGGGGCAGAGCAAGAGGCAGGAGGAGAGTATCCCAAGTAGGCTCTGTCCTATCAGCATGAAGCCCAATGTGGGGCTAGAACTCGTGAACCCGTGAGATCATGTCCTGAGCCAAAATCAAGAGCTGGATGCTCAATGGACTGAGTAACCCAGGCACTCCCAGAAACATTTGTTAGGTTGGCCTTAAATTACAAATAACCTAGGAAATCACGCAGTAACTTTTAACCAGTATTATCAGTCAAAATTAAACAACACTGGGGTGCCTGGGTGGCTCAGTCGGTTAAGTGGCCGACTTTGGCTCAGGTCATGATCTCGCGGTTCTTGAGCTCGAGTCCTGCGTTGGGCTCTGTGCTGACAGCTCAAAGCCTGGGGACTGCTTCAGATTCTGTGTCTCCTCTCTCTGCCCTTTCCCTGCTCATGCTCTGTCTCTCTGTCTTTCAAAAATAAATAAACATTAAAAAAAAATTAAACAACACTGTGGCATTTCAACTAAAGAGCACTGGAAAGAGCCAGACTTGGGTCTGGGTCCTGTTCCCTAGTGTCTCTAAGATACTGGGAAAATCACTTATATTCTCTGGTTTCTATGTCACTTAGTGTTCTTAAATTTGATGCAAGTAATGAAAGCTGATTACTACCAATTTAAGCAAATGGGGCTTTCTTGAAAGGATATTACAAGACTCACAAGTGCTTAAAATGTTGGGGAACCAGGCTTAGAAAGTGACAAGCACCTGGTTGTTCTGAACTACAAACAAATCAGGATGCTATTAAAGAATGGATATAGGGCGGTCAAACAAACCCCATCGATCCACCACTGCTTTCCTTTTCATGTCTAAACAAGATAATCTCTGTGAAGTCTTCTAGCTCTGACATCCTCTGCTTCTCTGTATTTGGAGCAGGAAGGGTATATATGCAAATAGAGTTGTCAGAAATGTTCTGGCTGAATGTATCTGAACGCTGTGTGCAGCTGAGGAAGGCTTAACCACAGCAAGAGCACAGAGGTTGACCAATTTTGGCATGTAGCAAGTAAGAAGTAGGAGGAGTCTTAAACAAGCAAAGTGTGTGAGTAGATAAATTATGAGGAACAAGCACAAACACAAATGATACTTTGATAAGTGTTGGAAGCTTCCAAATGCTTCTAACAGTCGCAGCTCTTAACAAAGGTAAGGGCTAACATCTAAAATCTGTAGAAGGTTTTCTCACGCTTATGAGATACAGTATACAGCACTGCCCTGAGCTGCATATTTGAATCCAATATGCAAGTAAACTGTTAAACAGCTTCTCAAATCAAAAGTTGAAAACTGGTAGCCCACAGGTCAGATATAGCCTGCAGAAAATTAATTACCAACAGATAAAAATACAGATTTCCAACTTTCCTTGAACAAAAGAGGCTCTGGCAATATTGGGTCCACATTTCTGCATAGTAATAGTTTTCTACTGCCTTTGGTGGGGATGTGGACTCTCTCTATTTCTTTTCAGTCACAATGTCACCTGCTTGTGCCCTGGAAACACTCCAGTTTCTGACCCTTAATGTAACTACTTTTATGACAGCCCACACAAGGCCAGTGGGGCAGTCATCTTGAGGATCCACCAGTGTGGTTTTGTTGATTGACCTGTTCAAGTGCCTAGCCTCTGGTCTTAGGACCCCTCTGGTAAAATCCTTTCACTCCTGACCTGCCACCAGTAATTCTGGAAACAACTGTTTACCCCAACTAACCCACATGTCCCTTTTCTGTCACAGCTTATCTTCAAGTATCTATTCTTCCAAATGACCTTAAATATCTGATGGTGGAAAAGACAGCAAAGAACCCATTTTGCATCTCCTAAAATGTAGGGGAAAAAAACCCAACTATGCCTCTGAATGGAGAATCACTTTTGTTTGACTTCTTGGAAGACAATCGCTGAAGAAAGTCTCCCAGGAGGATTATTTACCTATTTTCTGTGAGTAGCTGTGGATGTACTGGGCACCAGTTGATGATGATGATTCCTTTTGTCTCTTCTGCACATGTCTAATCCCATCTGAGTGTTATTGCTCACATAATTCTATCCCTGATGTACAGCACACAATGTATTATAAGACCACTCACATCACTCTTTGTGGGGTCCAGTCCCTACAAAGCAACCACATTTCCTTGCTTCAATCTCTTTGATGTCTTTCAGGCTGCTTTTAGGCTAAAGATTCGTGGAGAAGTCTACAAATCCTTGCAGTTTGATTCTTTCTTCTCAGGCTTCACCGCCCATCTTCCCTGGCTCACTTCACTTTGAGCATTTGGGTCGTCTTTGAATTTGTGGAACAATCCAAGTTCTTTTCCACTTCAGGTCCTTGACTCTTGCTGTTCCCTGTTCTGGTAGGCTCTCCTCAGTCTTTCCACTATCTCCTACCTAACTTCTGAAATGTCACTTTGTCAGAGAAGCTATATTCCACTTTCCTCCCATTCTTCCACCCTTCATCCCCATTTCTCATAGGCCTCTGCCCTCTGCTATTGCTTTTAACATTTATGTTTTCCCACTAAGCCGTGTAAGGTGCATAGAGACCTTATCTATTTTTGTGCCCAACGACTATACCGGAGCAGCACAGTCCCTGCCATAATTGAGTAGGTGAGCAATACTTACCTGTTAAATGAATGAAATCCCACCTTCCATTCCTCAGGCTGGTCTAACACCATACTGTTATCTCCTGGAGTGATTAAGACACCTTTCTTAGGGAAAATGTTTTTATTTCCGATATATTAGCAAATTGATGATTTAACAGAAGATAAGCATGGCGGAAAGCTTTTAAACTTTTAGATTACCCCCAGGTGGGGTCTCAGACCATCGCCAGGAACTTGGTGTAAACGGAAATTACCAGGCCCTTCTCCAGACTAAGCAGAAAACTCTGGGGGTGTGGCCCTGAAATCTGCTTCCAGGTAATTCTGAGGCACATTTAAGCGTGAAAACCATTGTTCTGGGCTCTCCAGTTTTTAACCTTTTTTCCCCTAATAAATTATTTGGCCCTTAATCCTTGGTATTATCCTGCTGGTAAAATAGTACAATCTTAAACTGCTCCGAGGGAATCTTTGCCATCATCCAAAAGCCTGGAATAACGGACTATTTGTCTTCTTGGGTACAGGTCAGCCGCCGGGGGGTGGGAGGGCGCTACAAATCCAGACAATGTTGTAACACTTGTAATCTGTACTGTTGTAACAATGCACAGGTGTAAATGGCTAAAAACTCCGCACAAAGGCAGAAGAGCTCCGGTGAAAGCCTTTGTTCACCCATCCCTCCCGACTGCTCACCCCCGTTGTGATACCGCTTTTCTAGCCAGAAAAGCAGACTCTCCAAGTTACAAGAATGTTCTGTACCGCTGAGAACGCTTTCTATTAGGCCGGTTTTCCCGGGGGCACTGGAGAAGATACTCGCGGCTGCCGGACGCAATTCTATTCCTCCCTCAACCTACCACAGAAGTAATTGAAACTAAAAAGCCCTTCCAGCTTCAGAAGGAGAGCTGGAAGCTGAGGCCGACTTCCCCGCCCCTGACCTCGGGAAAACCCGTAGTGGACTTCATTAACATCCGGACGCGAGCGGAGGCCGGCGGCAGCGCGTCATTGCGCATGCTCTCTCGCCCCTCCCGCCCGGAGCCGGAAGCGGGAGCGCTCGCGGCCTGGGCCTGGCCTGGCCGGGGCGGCGGCACCGGCGGCCATCTTGGCTTCCCGGGGCAAGGCGGCGTGGGGGGAAGAAGTTGTAGGGTGGGGGCAGGAGGGAGGAGGAGGGGAGAGAGAGAGGGGGAGGAGGCCGCGGCGGGGCAGGGCGGGGACTGCCTGCCCGCCTGGGTTGCGGAAGTGGTAGCCGCTGACCGAGCCTGCTGCTTTCTCGCTACTGCTTCGGCTTCCCGGCTCCCCCCCGGACGGAGAGGGTGGCCCGGCTGTGGATGGTCAGATAGCTCCGATCTCCCGCCGCCAATCCCTGGCCCCAATCAGCACGGAGCAGACGGCGGCAGCGGCAGCACCAGGCGAGGGGGAAGATGGCGGGACGGCTGCCGGCCTGTGTGGTGGACTGTGGCACGGGGTAAGGGGGCTGACGGGCGGGGATCGGGAAACTGAGGCGGAGGTGGGGGGCAAATGGCGGGGGAGGGTGGCGGTCGGGAGATGTATGTTGCGGCAAGGTGCTGCCGCCGGCCGTGTCAGTCCTAGCTCCGCCGTGTTGCGAGGGGTGGGGCCCGGAGCCAGGGCCTCCCTTGTCGCCTCGCTTCACCCTCTGGGACCCGACTGGGGGTGCGGGGCCGAGAACCCTCCCGAGAGCGGCTGGCTCGGCGGGACCCCTCCCCCCCCTTCCCCCATCGCGGGGGGCAGCGCCGCCCAAGGAGACTTGGGGCCGGTCGCCCCTCCGGGGCCCTAGGTGCGATCCGGGTGGTCGCCGGCCCGGCGCACCCGCCTCTCCTTTTCCTCGGCGTCCCTTCCTGCCCGTGGGTTTGGGGACCGAGTGGATCGAGCGCGGGGACAGCCTGGCAGAGGAGCGAGAAAAGAGAAGCACTCCTTGTAGGTTTTGCAAGATTGCTGTGACAACACTGCCCAGGGTGTGGGTGCGGAAAGGGGAGAATCAGACTCCGAAAATGGGAACCTAGGTCGGGGCTTTCATTCGACCACCCACCTCCTCTTCCTTTCCGACTCCCGGTCTTTTCCATCTCCCACTGCGCTTTTACCGGTGAACCAAGTCCCATTTTAATTTGAGAGAGAAAGATGTCATGTGTTACTTCTCTTGCCTCAAAAAAGTCCCCCAGTGAGCAAGCGCGCTGCAACTTCCTTAGTTTTGTCAAAGCCGCTTCCTGCTTTCTGTCTTTTATACCCTTATAAGGTAGTTTTTCGTTTCCAACCTGAACACCTCTTACTAGGACTTTCAAGATTAAGCCTTTTTCAAATAGATTGAGTTGCTGGTGCTAGTTATCAATTTATGTGAACTCAAAATTATATATATTAGCGTTTCGCGAGGAAGGAGGAAGGGAAGCACCTAGGAAAATCATTTAAGTTTTGTTTATTCATTCTGTGAAGGTATCTCAAGTCTAGAAGGAAGGTGGTACTGAGTTATAAAGGGATGTGCTTGCTTTTCAAAGCGTCTCCAGATCTGTAAGGTAGTTTGTTAACATGTAGAATGGCGTTAGATTAGATAAATAGTCATCTTGGAGTTTTGGCACCCTTGTATTTGCATCGAAATTATTGTGTGTATTTTAATATGGAATGACTGCTTTAAGTTACAGCGCTGGGAATGTGTGTGTGTGTGTGTGTGTGTGTGTGTGTGTCCTCTGCTGATACATTGTTATATTTCTAATTCCTTAAATAATCCAGTGGGAGGGGGCGGATTATGAGAGGTAGAGTGCCAGACTCCCTCCTTTTATTAATCAGTAAACTTTTTGTTGGTTAAAGGATTGTGTCTGTTTCTCACTGCATTTGCTCTCGGTAAAACAGCTCTAATCTTCATGCTCATAACTTTGTTTCTGAAATCCCAGCCATGAGTATGGAAACAGCCAATTTATTAATATTTTCCTTTGGGAAACACCAGCCCTCTTTAGCCATGGAACTTCTAAATGTATTGTTCTACCGGAGGCTTATTAAAGTTATTATTTTTTTTCCAGTCTGATTTTATGGAGTCAATATATATATATTTTTTTCCTCAGTCTAATTGGTGAGTAGTTTCTGCTTAGGGTCAGTTCTAAAATTAGATTTGGCCTGAGTGGGAAGGAATTTTCAAGTGTGTTTTGTTAAAGTGAAAAATACTGCTACATAATTAAAATTTTTATGCTTTAGAAATTATGGGGCTGTTAACAGAATTAGTGTAGATAATTAATAACTAACATGGTTAACATCTTAAGTCGGATGTTACCTTTTCTCACTCTATTTTTCCCCTTTTGAAATACAGTTCTGGTTATTTTTGAGCAAGTATATTAGGTATTTCATTGAGGTTGACTGTCCTTAAGTGACCTCCTTCTGATAGGGCAACCCTGAATTTAAAACACATGCTGAGTGAACAGGAGGTGCAGGAGGGGTTCACTCTATCCTAGGGGTTATTTTTATTTTAAAATTTCATTATTACATTTTTTATTACATTATTACATTTTACTTTATTACATTAGTTTTACCTCACAAGGTGAGGTAGTTAGCTGGACAGTCATGATTTAAATGGAACTGATTAGGATTCCCATTCCCTCTCACCTTTCTTACACTCTGTCAGAGCTCCACTTATTTTGGTCTTCAGAATGGTTTTTGGTCTTCGGTGTTGCTGATCTTCTGTGTTGCCTGTTAATACCACTCTAGCAACGTCACACCTTTGGCTTTATTAGCAGAGAGAGGATAGCTCATTGAGATGGGGCCTGTGATAAGCATATCTTAGTAAGTAAGGCCTTAATAGGGAGTTTTATGTTCCAGAATACTGTGGTCCCCAGATGCAGATTGTGCACCTATAATTTGTGTGTTCCTTTGTGCTTTAGAGAATGCATTCATCTGTTTAGTCTATAATTACAATTACCGACTTAACGTAAGTGAAAAGTTATAACCTGAATCTGGTTGCTCATTCCATTTCATTATGTAAGTTAGGAAAAAGATGACTGACTGAAAAGGTGGCCATCTAGAAACTTGATATTCTCAGATAAGAAAAGCTGAGTTAGGAAACATAAAGCTTAATACCCCAGACTTAAAATTAGAGATCCTCTAGCAAAGATCCTTTATCTCAACATAAGATAAAGAATCACCTAAGCTCAGATCATAAAAGAAAATAACTCCTTTTGAAAATAATTTAGAAATAATACTTTCATATTGATATCATGTCTACGCTTTTTTTTTTTTTGTCTGCACTGGTATAGTACTGTAGAATAAAATTTGGGTAGAGATTTTCATTGATAGAGCTGGCTGCCCAATATTACAGTTACAAAAACCTGCTACCTGTGATGAGGGAAACATTTATTTTTTCAATGTTTAGTTTTGATAGAGCAGGAAAAGGGGAGGTGCACAGAGAGAGGGGGGCAGGATGTGAAGCAGGCTCAGCACAGACAGCAGAGAGCTGGATGCAGGTCTCAAACTCAGGAACTGTGAGATCATGACCTGAGCTGAAGTCGGATTGTCAACTGGCTGAGACACCTAGGTGCCCTTAGGGAAACATAATAACATTGTAATATATGCAAAGTTAAGAGGATCCTAAATTATCTTTTGCGTGTTTTTATTCATTTCTTGAACATTCAAGCCAAATGAAGGAACTCCTTATGTACTTTTCTATGCTATAGCTTGATTACACAACTTTGCATTGTGGTATTTCCTTTTCCTCTTTATGTCTTTTTTCCCTGATAAATACTTTGTTGGTAAATTATCTCCATTATGATAGCAGGAGTTAATATAGCCTTGGGATCTAGATATATTCAGATTTAGGATGAATTCAGGAATTCCCATAATTGACTTAAGCTCCCTAGAAATTTTAATATAAGCACAAATATTTTGTTGGAGTCAATGGATAGGGAGCTTATATAATTCATACTGTGGTTATGTTGTAGCAGTTCGTACAGGTAGGGTGATTTTCTTGTAGAGCCAATGGGCAAGAGCTGAGTGGGTGGGGAAAAACATAAGTAGGGAGTTGATGTTTCATATGTGAATTCTGTACATAATATTTAATAATTAACTTCTCCAGCCATCTCTAAGGACAGAAATATTGCCAGTATCTTGTTACCAGAAAACCTTGGAATTCTTATTCCTTCATGGGTCATGTTTTACCTGCTGTTTGAAGTATAACAGACAGGTTCCTGTTGAGAAGCTGGATTCTTACTTAGACTTACCTACAATCTTTCTTCTTTCTCTTCCTGCCAATCTCTTTTCCTGCATGCAAATTTTGTGTTGAAATATGAACTTTGGGTTGTATACATTGTATGTAATGAACTTTCCAGCCTAATTGTAAAATGCTTTCAGAAATTTAGTTTTAAGCACAGGATGGAAAGCTTCCCTTGTGGAGGGTCTGCTGGCCAGGGTTTTATTTACTTTAGTTTTGTGATGGCTGTTTTTAAGCTCATTTTACAAGTCAGAAGGCAGATGAGACAAATTTAAATTACTTTTCTAATGGCATGTAGTGAGCAGGTGGTAAGAGTTTCTATTTTGACTTCAGCTTTTCTGTATTGAATCCCTGTGTTCTTTCTGTTACACTGTGGGGACTCCTGAGCCCCTTATCAGAACTATGCACATTGCTTTATTTTTATGAGTAAGGATAATTCTATTCTTCTTTAAAATATGATTGTAAATCATTTGATTTAATGAATTAGAGAAACCATTCTTGTGCAGATCTTTCTGATCATATATATTAGATACATGAATTCCTAACTTATTTTCTTGTCACTTTGCTTAAATTTAACTTCCGGAAAAAATTTACTTTTTAGGTTTTGTTTATCAGGAAATACTAATAGCCAATATTTTTGAAGAATTGCCTATCAGGCCTAGTGCTAAATACTTTATCTCATTTACTTTTCACATTAATATGAGAATTATCTCTATTTTATAGACAGAAAAATTTAGGGTTTAGTGAAATTAACCTACTTACCCAAGTTATTATAGCAAATAAGTGTGGGAGATCCCCTATACTATATATGATACGTTTCTTGCCTAGAGGATGAGCCTTTGGCAGTTTTCAGTTGTTTTGCTATTTTTTGGACAGAATTCATTTTTGATGTTGTAAAGGCAGAAAGTTATGTTAGTGACTTAAGGCTCACTCTTACAGGTAGAAAAAGTGGTATGCCAAATCAAAGCTAACTATGTACTTGACAGCAGGTTACACACCCTTGGAATTATAACGAAAATGTATAATACAATCTGCTCTCGAGATTCTTAATGAGACGAGAGCTAAAAATTATTTTAAAAAGTCAGAATGGTAAAAGACCACTTAATCAAATATTACTATCTTTACTTTTCTGACAGTATTAGCCCTTTCATAGTTTTTAAAGAAAGAGATTATTGTAGTCAGGAAGGGTCCAAGAAGTATTAGTGAAGGTAGGATACGCACTCTCCTTTTAAGGATTTGAATATACAGTGTAAGGAAAAGCTTAT